TGAGTAACTTTATCCATGCAGAATCAAACCCCAACGACTCCATGACAACAAATAGAAAGCCCCACTCTACTCGATCGTATGCCTTTTCCATGTCGAGTTTGAGGGCCATCCACTTATCTCGACCTTGTGCTTTCGTTTTGAGAAAATGCATAACCTCCTAGGCGATGAGGATGTTGTCTTTAATATCCCGGCCTTTGACAAAACCATTTTGAGCATCACTAACTACGGATGGAATCACCTGACTCAACCGAGTAGATAGAACCTTGGAGATGATCTTATAAAAGACCTGGCAAAGCTCTATTGGTCTCATCTGATTCATCGTCTTTGCATTTGGAACCTTTGGGATCAACGTTAGCAATATGTGGTTAAAATTATGCAGCAACCTACCCGATCTAAAGAAAGAGCTAGCAGCCACACAAACAGAATTAGCGACGATGTCCCAATAGGTTTGATAGAAGGCAGCAGTGAAACCATCCGATCCCGAATTGATGGGTTCTCTTTCTCCATTTCTTTTTATTTTTTGTTTTTAAAATCATAAAAAAAACAACAAATTATTGTAATTGAGCTGGCGCTGATGTGTCCACTTAGGTGTAAATTCGTCCAACAAATCGTTAGTGTTAACTTGCTATTAGCCATTATTTGACTGGCAACAATAGTTATAGCTAATAATTTGTATTTCGATAGTTGTGACTATAATTTTCCCGGTTCTTAATTGTTGTGACTAATATATTGCATTTATCTTTTTGTATTGAATATGTATAGTTTTAGGTTTGAAGCAGTATGTGAGATTTAACTGAACTGATGCATAGTTTATTTAGATTGATTTCTTGATTTTTTAAAACAATTCGAGTTATTAAAACCAACTGTGATATGATTTTGTCTTCCCTGGTCAAAATTGACAAATCCCCGACCGGGGATTTAAAAAAGAGATATGCGAATCACATCAGAGGCACCCCCGACCAGTTCCAAATAATCTCTGATCGGGTATTTAGACCGGAAATTTGGTCCTGCTGAGTTTTGTTACCATTTTTTTATTATGATTATTTTTCCTTTTTGGTGTTTTCATTAGTTTTACTTTCCATGCCTATTTAAAGGGTTGTAAGACACGGATTTGAGGAGATTATTCAGACTTGATTATTTGGAAAAAAAAAGCCTTTGTTCATAGAGTTTTCACTCTTGAATTTTATCCTTTTTTGTTGGTGGATCTCCAGCATTCGAGCGAGCTTTGTATCAATCTAGTAACCACCTTGATTGTGGTCGAGTTGCTACCCATTATATTGTATGAGCCTCTTCCCGACTTTGTGTTGAAGTTGCACGACAATTCCGCCCTATCCTTTATTTTTTCGTGTTGTTGAGAGAAAATTCAGAAAACCCTAAAAACTTCGGAGCTGAGACTTTGTCAAATTAACCTAAGCTTTGACGAGCTCAGGATCTTATTAGGTGCTATTAGAGCCCCGTTCAAACTCATGAGCAAGTGGTATTTTTCTTTCGTTTTTACTGGTCACGAAAAAAATTTGTGATTCGGTACTGTTCATGTGATAAAAAAATTGTTCATCAGCCACAAACCTGAACGCATGAACGTGGGTTAAAAAAATATAAATATCTTGGATTTTGGTTTTTTGTATCTCTAGTTCAACACCATGGCAAGGAAGAAAGCAAAGATGCAAACCATGGATCCAAACATTAAAGACGCCATGAACCAACTCGCAACACATATGGCTCGGGTGGTAGGTATGATAAAAACCATGACTGAACAGAGATCGAGTTCGAGTTGTCCGGTGCAACAGTGTTCGCGTTTTGAGGAGGAGGAGGCGAATCTGGAAGTAGAGAAATTGTCAATCAACTATCCAGAACCGTAGAAGGAAGATGGAGAATTATACGAGTTGAACATGTTAGAAAAGGAGCAGATGGTTTATCGCGATCCTTTTTATGATGATCTTTCTTGCATAATTACACAAGCTTTAAGGACTGTCGCTGTAAAACTAGTAGACATAGCAATTGAGTCGGTAATTTCAGGTTGGGTCATCGGGTTACTGGTCGGGTCATGTTGGGTTGGCTGATTTTGGGTCAAATATTGATCCAACCCATTCGGCTTCGGTTCGGATTACAGGTCATTTCGAGTTATGAGCGCTCTCAGAAACAATATCAAACATACTTCATATTTTTTAAAGAACACAAATTTTCACATATGCATGGCAATAGTTTACCTAACACATGCCAATTAACATATTCTCAAATCCTTCCATGCTAATGAAAGGAAATATAAATTATGCTAATTGGAAAAAAACAATCACAAGTGTACAGGAAACACATGAAGTTTGATGATTTTTTTTCCAATAATAGCACGTTTAAATTTTTTTTACAAAACTAGCACCCAGCCAAAAAAATTTACACTAATAGCACCATTTTTAATAGACCGCACCTTAGGGGTGAGGTTTATTCCACGTCAGCACGCGAATCGCACTAGGAAGGTGCGGTGTGTTTTTACTGCTGAACTGTCTTCAAGACCGTTGGATGAAGGTGCAATCGGACGGCGGACCGCACGCCAACAGAGCGATCCGCGCCATGGATCGGGGACCGCACCTGCAAGGAGCGGTCAGCGCCTCGTGAATCGCAAACCGCATCGGAAGGGAGCGATTTCTGCGAGGGGAAAATTACCAAACCTCCCCTGAAGGGTGCGGTCTGATAAGTATAAATAAATACCCCCCTTCCCCCTCTCATTTCTTCACACCACAACCCATTCTTCCCTCTCTCTCTAGAATTATCTCTCTAAACCCTCCCCTCCCAAAATTCTAGGAAATAGTGGTCTGTTGGTTGCGGCTAAGTCCGATCTGCCATCAGAAAACATTTCTTTGGTTTTTCCTCAAAACCCGCCGAGCCGAATCTCTGTCCGAATTTTGGTTTTTTCCTCAAAACTCGCCGAGCCGAGCCAAATCTCTGTCCGAATTTCCCGAAAAAATGAGCGATTGGTGGCAAGGAGAGGGAGTTTATGTTGATGAATTTCTAGCAGTACATACTCATTATTCTGGTTTAATTTTTGTTGTTGTTATAAGCTTTTTAATTAATCTATGTACTAACATCGTTGTCATTTTCTCGTAGGTTGGGGAAAACGTGGATATATACAACCAACAGTATTATCTCGAGCAAGGACCGTTCGATCCAACCGACTTGTACAACCAACCCAACCATCGGTCAAGGGATGTTTGGAACGATCACCCGGTACATACAATTCTTTATTTTGCCTAATGTATTTAGTGGAATATAAAATAAATTTATGTTGAATTTTTAATCTTGTTGGTTGTTTTCAATAATTTAATCGAATACATAGCGCCACTTACTTAGACTCTTTATAAAGAAATGCACGTCTAAGGAAATGGTGTTTTAAGCGATTATTATATCCTCCCATTTCCTGGGAAAATCGGGTATTAAGAGATCCTCGGATCCCCCGTTTTTTCTGTCAAAAAGACTACGTTTCTAAGAAGATGTATTCCTCTTCTAAGAGGTAACGAGTGTTGCTCTGTATTCGATTAAATTATTTAAAACAACCAATACGATAAAATTATTTACCAAACAACCAATACAATTTATTTTTATGTGTACAAAATGAATTTTATTAATTTCAAATATTTTTATATGTATGTTTCTCTTTAAATTATTATTCATTTAGAATTTTATTATTTTATTATGTTAATTAATTTAGGATGTTTGTTTTATGATAATATGTATGTATCTCTTTAAATTATTATTGATTTAGAATGTTATATGTTAATTATCTGAAATGTATTTTTATGATATAAAATTCTGCTCGAAGTTAAATAATTTAATTTAATTAATTTAGTTATAAGAAAAAACCCTTACTAATATATAATAATTAACGTGTAAATTTTCGCTAGGAGGCACAAACAATACTCCGCTACAGGGGTACGACCAATGTGCTCCCATTCCACTCAGCTATCTTGCCATTTCTCAAAAGGGCACGGTTGTATCCGATTAGGCATTTTAACGGCATCAAAGTCGATCGCCAACTCATCACCGCATTAGCTGAGAGATGGAGAAAAGAGACCCATTGTTTCAACTTTAGAGAAGGAGAGGCCACCATCACGCTAAAGGAAGTCGCCATCCTAACCCATCTGCCCATCGACGGCAAACCGGTGTACGCGAGTGATCATCCCCCCGAGGATCGTGACGGTATGCCCGGTTGGGTTCATTTCATCCACAGTGTTTTTGTGTTGAAAGTACCAGTCACGGGGAGCGAATGAGGAAACACCAAGTCTCAATTACTTGGTTGACGAAGTATTTTAGAGACCATTATGTGAGTCATCCCCTAACCGAGGAAAGTCCGGAGGATGAGAAGGAAAGATATGCTCATGTCTATCTCATAGGCATGATCGGAGGAGTGTTCTTCTCCAAAAAATCAAGCAATCTCCTTAGCCGTGGATGGCTTAGGATCATCCTCGGTAGTTGGGAGGAGATGGGGGAGTTTAGCTGGGCATTCGCTTGCCTAGCTAATATCTAACACAATTTGTGCAATGCGTCTCTAAATCTGTGAGGGAGGCCGGCGGCGCAATGTTCATCGTCCAATTTTGGGCTTGGGAGAATATGTGATGGATTGCACCGATCCAATCGATCACCCCCTAAGAGGTGAAGCTTATGGTACAAGGTAAACTTCTCATACCCCATCATGTTTTTCATAACACATTTTCCCTTGTGTTTTAGCTTATTGTAGTTTCATTATTGTCTTATTATTAAGGTGGCTCGGACACACAACATGCGACAACCTTGCCCAACACAAGTTGGTCGAGTATCGGAGGAGGTTTGAACGACTTTGGGAAGGAGAGGTAACTTCTATACTTCGATCCATTTATATCTTTTTTTCATTGAGTACATGTATTTTTCCAATTCTGATAAACTTAAGTTACTCATTTCTTTCTTGTAGATCATCTTCGATCCATACCCGGAGAACATCGTTCATTGGCATCTCCAGCAATTCCCCGGTCATATCGAGCAATGGTGCACGAGGGTCCCTATAATTTGTTTTGGGGACCGTGGAGTGGCACTTGCTGGATTGATGCCTCCGTCAGTTTGGTCGGGAGCAGTGCATTCTGTTGGAGGTCCCCCATAGTCAAAGGGCCTTTCACCACCGAGATGGTCGGCAAGGTACTCCCGATTGGCCCACGAAGTTGGCGAAATTCATCACGATGTGGGAGAACCGACAATGGCAGGATATTGTCACTCCAACTCGAGTGGGTCGAATGGGGTATCATGACCCATACTTGGGTCAATATCGGCAAACATCGATTCGATACATGACTCCGGAGGGTGCGGCCGATGGTGCATTGGTAAGTATATTCCGTCTAAACAATTAAATTTATTACTTGGTTCCTAAATTTTTTTATAACTTTTTTTTTTTGTGATTTAGGCTGATGGGATCGAGCGGATCAAAGATATGACCTTCGGGGGAGTTGAGCTGGGCAATGAAGATGTGAGCTTCATCAGAAGGATGGCAAACAGTCTGCTTGGCTGTATCAGAGCTCAGGGTCGGGATCATCGTAGATATCCGCCCATGCCCGCACCCCCGCCACCTCCCATACAAGTTGATGTCCCCGATCCCCCACCACCATACAAGAGAAAGAAGAGAAAGAGGGTTCGGGAAAGGCCCAACGTGCCCGACGTAACCCCATATCAGGCGTGGAAAGTGCCGTCCCCATTGGCTGTGATACATGGTGCCGCCCCGAGTTCCTCCCAAGATCCCCGCCCGAGTTCCGCCCAAGGTGTCGGCCCGAATTCCTCCCAAGCTCCCCGCCCGAGTTCCACCCAAGATCCCCGACCGAGTTCATCCCAAAAGCACCGCCCCTCCTACCACAACGATCCCCACCCAAGCTCATACTACGATCCCCGCTCGACCTACCATCAATCCCCATATGATCCCAACCCGATCTCATACAACGATCCCCGCCAACCATCATATGATTCCTGTCCGGTCTACCCCCCATCTCCCTGCCAACCATACTACGATTCCCACCCGGTTTACCCCCCATCTCCCCGCCAACCATACTACAACTCTCGCCCGGTCTACCCCCAAGACCCCCCTACATCATCGGGTACTTGGCATGATGGTTCCTCCACGACTCGCCCTCATCAGCCGTGGCCGCCTACTCCTCACCGTAAGAGCGCGGATTTCCCCCGCTCGACTCCGGAAGCGCCGCCTCCCCGCCGACACAGCATCGACGAGCGCCACACTACCTCGGCCATTCGAAACTTGCCATCGGAACCACCTATTGTTACTCCCGTCGGCCGTCGTAAAAGGAGCAAGAAAACCGTTAGTTCCGGTGAAGCTCGTGGACTTCCTTGAAATGTATTTTGAGTTGAATTTTAATTATATGTACTTGGAGCTATTCCTCTTATCTTAGTTTATTTAATTGAGTGTTGTTTTAATTTGTTTTTATTTCTATGTATATGGCTTTGTCCATTTTTTTTTCATGTTAACTTGATATTATCCAAATTCGATCAATCAACAATTCACAATTACTTGCCAAAGAAGTCATCTCAACTAACTTGAAGAATGATAATCGCAAACCCGGTTCTGAATTCTCTTTCTCCTCGGGCGACCCGGTTCACGCCTCTGTCCGAATGGCGGGATGATCAATTTTCCTTCGTACATCGTCCAATAAGCTTCATCAGGCAATGCACAAAAACTCTGTCCATAGGTGTTTTTGAGTGAGTCGATATTGAAGAATGGACTAACGAAGTGACGGGGGTCTTTGCTCCTGTTTTTAATTACGACCATTGCATGAGAACAAGGCCACCCTCTCCCTTGATACTTCTGACATGAGCACTCACCAAATTTTGTCCTGAAATTGACCAAAACTTCATGGCGGTGGGCCCCCCGTCTACAATCCTCCCGATGTCCGGTCGTCACGCTATACTCACCATTAGCCTGATTCATAACGGTGACACTATGTCGACTACTCTTGCGATTGTCATTCTCCATTACTTCGGTGACTTTATAGGCATGGACCTTTCCCTGTGCCTCGTTCGTCCTTGCCCAGTGGAGTCGGTTGACAAACCATGCATTCGTTTTCCAAAAGTCATCTCCACAATGGCAGAGATTGGCAATACCCCATCTTGTCCCTCCATCTTTATGAAATGTCCACATGGATAGGTCGTGTCCATCCAGCCACTGTGCCCCTTCAGGGCATAACTCGCGCATCTTTTGCAACTTCTCCTGAAATTTTTTCTCTTGGTAGGCAACCGCTGAGGAACACACAGAAAAGTAGTACGTTAGTCAATTTTCGGCAGTTTAGTACAATTCGAACAACCCGGAGGTACTCTCATTAGACTCTTAGGAGAGGTATACATCTCCTTAGAAACACAGCATGTTTGACAGAAAAAGGGGAGATACGAAGATCGCTTAAAACCCGATTTTCCCAAGAAATGGGAGGACCATGATAATCGCTTAAAACCCCCATTTTCTTAGGCATGCATCTCTTTAGAAAGAGTCTAACAAGTGCACCACTCTCCTGATTACAAGATATTGTTAGCTGACAAAATTAAACGGCTAATAGAGAGCTTACCAATCCACCACAAATTATCAGCAAGCTTATTCCGCTTGAAATGATGGTTCCAGTTGCTCTTGAAGTGTCGTATGCAACACCTTTGGGACCACTTCCAGTCTGGATCTAAATCTAAGATGGCAGCTCTAATGCTGGCGTGCCGATCAGAGAGTATTGTCAGGTTAGTCCTTTTAGTGACGTGGAGCTGAATTTGCCGGAAAAACCATCCCTAGCTATCAGCATTCTCTCCCTCAACAATGGCGAAGGCTAAAGGAAAGACTTGTCTGTTTGCATCCGCCCCACTGGCAATCAGGAGAGTGCCCTTGTACTTGCCGGTAAGGAATGTACCATCCACTTGGATCACATGGACACAGAAGCCAAAACCATCAATAGATGGCTTGAATGCCCAAAAAAGTCGTCTGAAATGACGTTTGTTACCTGGCTCTGGGGGGGTTGTATCTCTTCATCTTGGTATCGAGGGGAGAAAACAGTGCCAGGGTTAGACGGCTCCAAAGCCAAAATTAACCTAGGAAGGAATGCATATGATTCTTCCCAATCACCAAAGACGGCGGCCAGAGCTTTCTGATTTCCATGCCACGCCTTCTTATAGTTAATCATATAACCATAACGACTTGCAATGTAAACGATTATGACTTTCACCTTCAGGTCCGGATCTTGCTCAATTAGATGCTTGATAGCCGCAGCAACCACCCTGGATTTCAACTGTCGATGGCTTTGGGAAGTTATGGATGACACACATGTGTGTGTGTTCACCGCACGGGATATGACCCAGTGACCGTGTCTCTTGCTGTTGATGGCCCGAATCCTAACATTGCACCCCTCGTGATGATTACGGCATCTGACTATGAGCCTTTTAGTGTTGGAATGAGTTGTGTGCCATTCAAAATGCCGAGTCATTGCTTCAGTCTCAATGGCGTGCCACACCTCCTTCTTCGAGCCAAATTGTTGGTCCTTCATAAACCAGTGAGTGGACCCCATACTAGGACCTCTGGCCGCTCCATGTCGTTGTCGACCATCCAATTGTCGTCTGGAATGTGATTGTAGTAGGGGACTGGTACATGGTCACGAGCCACCTCATCATCATTATCTGAGTCTGACTCTGGTCCTGAATCATCAGCACCTTCAAGAAGGTCGGAGCTGTCTGCACTGACGTTGTTCTCTCCTTCTTCATCGGAGGGGTCACAACTGGTGCTGACAGGGCAGCTTCCATCTGATCCAGCTCATGAAAGGCACCTTCATCAGCTCCATAATGGTAGTTGTGAAAACTACCGCTGCCTGATTGGAAGTTGTACTGAGGTTGGTTGGGGAGGTCCGGTTGAACTTCTTCTTCATATGACGGGAAAGATTGATGATGACCTTCACCTTGCTCTTGGTACTGAAAATAGGAATGAGGATCATGGTAACTTTGGTAGGGATGATCGCCATATAATTCACCTCCACCATGGATACCAGATGTTTGACCGTGTCCAGATTGACCTCCAACGCCAACGGCCGCCTCGGTGTAAACGAACATCTCGGCTTTGGAAAGATTGTTGGACCTCAAGAATTCGAGCATGGAATCTACTTCATCCTGAGTCGTTATGAGATATTCCTCATGCCACAATGACCCAATTTCTCTGTTTGGATATCGGTACACCATACGATCAACTCTTCTCGTGCCATTCATGCAAGTAATGTTAGTGCACATTTGATGGAGGTCTTCGAGCACCGGTCTGGTAGCGACCTTTATTTTCTGAAAATTGCCACCGACGTAGGTGACCCCCTTTCCGGTCTCTTTCGTGTAACCATTCCACCGTAACCCAAACGTGAACTTTTGGAATGCCATCTGCAAAAAAAAATGTAGTATAGTTAATATCATAAAAATCACAAATCATAAATAACAATAAAAAGTAAAACAAAATAAACTTACGAGTTAACGTTAATCGCAAAAACACTAAAGAAATATAGAGCTAGAACAGAAAATTAAAAAGGGAGAAGGAGAGGTGTGAAGAGAAGAGGTTTTCCGTGCAGTCTTTTATAAGCAAAATCACTGATGAAAACCACACCTTAGAGATGCGGTTTTTGTCTGCTATGTAGCCCCACGTCTGTTATTATTCATGGCTATATGTCGGGTGTCGGAAAATAATTGACACACAAATCGCACTGGGGGGGGGGTGTGGTTTGTGTGGCAAAACCGCACCTTGGGGATGCGGTTTTGTTTTGGAGAAGCAAACCGCATCTCTAAGGTGCGGTTTTCTAGGTCAGGCTAAAACCGCACCTCGGCCATGCGGTTTATGTAGGTCAGACCTGAAATCGCATGGCTAAGATGCTTTTTTGGCCCAGGATAATAAACCGCACCCTCCAGGTGCGGTTTACATATAAAACGCACCTTAGAGGTGCATGTGGTCCGTAAAAAAGGGTGCTATTTTTGTAAATATTTTCGGCTGGGTGCTATTTGTGTAATTTTTTTTTAAAAGGTGTTATTTCTGGAAAAATCCTTGAAGTTTGGTTACCCTTAAACTACAAAATGTCTTTCAAATCCTAGTGAATTATTTTAAACATCTCAGCAATTTATGAGTGATTTTATCATTTTGGGAGTGACATATAAAATATAACGGGTCTAGCGGGTCGACCCGCTAACCTAACCAACCCGACCCAAAAAATCATGGGTTAATCGGGTTCGCGTCATTCGGGTTTTGAGTTATAAAAACTTCTATTTTTCAGGCGGGTTCGGGTTGAGTCAACGGGTCGGGTTGTAATTTTCCAGGTCCAAAAACCATGAACGACGGCTGCCGCGCTTCCAGACTGGGTTCAAGGCTTTCCTAGAGAGGAGAAAATATGCAATTTCATCAAAGTTTGGATGTCTTCTTTTCTGTCAGTGGAAGTACATGAAGAAGAGACAAGAAGACGTTGAACCTTCCTGGAGGACTTTAGAGAATTTCGTTTGGAATCCAGGATGGAAAGTTTTGAGGGCAAAACTTCTTCAATGGGGAAGGACTGATATGATTCTGTCTTCCACTAACAGAATTGACAAATCCCCAACCGGGGATTAAAAAAGGAGATCGGGTAGTCACATAAGAGGCACTCTCGGTTGGTTCAATAATCC